GGAGCAGTGAAGCCAGGAGGCGAGTGATCAGCGAGCCCCTCCAAGGCCCACGTGTTTGGTTTTTATATCCAACCTGGCTGCCCAACTCCACCCTCAGGTCCCAGCCACCCTCCCTTTGGTGGTGATGGGATTTGTCTTTCCCAATGTCTTGATGGCTTTAGTCTGGAGTGGGGGTGGGGGTCCACAAAGCCTGTATGGGATTAACTCAGGACATCATTTCCCCCTAACAATTTGACCGCGTTCAACTAATGAGAAATGGTAGTTTGTGAATAAAGACTGCAGCCTGCCCACTCTCAGTCCTCGGAGCCCTGTGGCCTTCCATGGCCATGCTACCACATTCTAGCTATTGGGAATGGTGGGGACTCCGGTGCTCTGGAGAGTACATGCAACATTCAGTGGACAGATTTTCAGCACCAGCAAGAACTGATACAATGTGGCCTGTTGCTTCTAGGCCTTTTTTTTTTTTTTTCCCATAAAATATAGAAAACCAAAATATTATGTGAAATTTCTTAATTTTTATATTTGGCAACTAATTTACAATGTCAAACAATATGATGTAGTCCAAAGAAACACGTCCTTGGGCAAAATGCAGACTGTGAGTTTTGAATTTACAACCTCTGCATCAGAGTATAACAAAATTTAGAATAACAGAGATCTTCATTCTCCAAATAAAGTGGAAAGAATTTCGGAATTTTACCTTCTCTCTTTGGCTTGTGGGGCATCAGTTCATGCCTTTTGGTTTATTTCTCTGGTGCAGGAGATCAACAATGAAAGCACAACAGGATTAGGAGGAAACAACCCTATTGTCCTACCTCCTGAGACACCTCTTTCTCTGGCCGCCCTCCCTTTGATCTTCTGGAAGTATGAAAATAAGTGTGGGCTGTGGTGGGTGTGGGCATGGGGGGCGGTGGTGTCGTCTCCATTCAAGACACCTGGACTCACTTTCAGAGAGTAAATGAAAGGCATCTGCTGTGGCTAGCACTGATATGATAGAAAACACCTATATGTGAAGGCCTTGTGCTTTTACCTGGGTATTTCATTGACCTTCATGAGTGAGGCCTTCATACCATGTGTTTGAAGGCCTCACAGTTTCTTTCGCTTAGGAAGTCTGGTGGCAAGTACTTACTGGTGGCAAGTAGCAGGACCCTACTTTTAGGTGAGCTTGAATACAGTGCAAAACTTTCTGTAGGTGTGAGAAATCTCAGGGTGAGGCCAGAGACACAGAGGATGAAAGAATTCATCAGAGGCAGAGCAGAGCACAGAAAAAAGAGCATTTATTGAAATGCACTGCTAAGAGAAGCAGCAAGCATGATGGGAGAGGTCTGTGCATGAAAGAGGATTTGAAGCTCTCTTTTATATGCGGTTTTCACAGGCTTTCTAACCTGAGATGCCAGTTTGCACCAGTTATCTACTGGGATGTCTGCTCTCGGGTGCTGGTCTTTGACACAGAAACATGTCTTGGCCTCTACTTCTGCATTCCTGAAGCTGGGCTGGTATTTCTGGTCATGGTGGTCGGTTTAATCTTGTCCCAAGGCAACCTTATCAATTTCCTTATTTGGTCAAGACTTCCAAACCTTTCTGCTGGGCAAGGAGTGGGTCTTGGATTTTAACCTTATTAAATTGTACCCCAACATTTTCCCATTGGTACTTGCTGCTCATTTGCTCACATGGACCTGAGGGCTGTATAAGGCTCCACAGCTTGGAACGGGGGAAAAGGCACTGTCAAGGCCATGGTTAGGCCCGAACATTGGAATTTGTTCATCTCTCCAGAGTACCAGCTAGAGGACTAGCGAATGAGCAGAAGCATGTTGCATGAGGGGGCCCTGCCAACAAAGTCACCACTGTTAGCTATTGTTACTATTGTTATTGGTAGTCATCATTATTGTCTCAAGATTCCCACTCTGGTGTCCTTAATGCTAGTATTTATCACACCCCGGGCTTTGCTGTTCTCTCCCACTTGGCAAATTTCCCACACTTGCACCCAACTGTCTCTTATTTCAGCTACGTTCTTATTTTGGGAATGGAAGTAGCTTTACACTTCCATGCACTGAAATGTAGGTATACTGGGAGCAGTAGGGAAAGCTGAGAGTCTAACAGACCCCCATGGGGCCCACAACCAGTGTGTGGGGTTGGGTTCCACAGATGCATTTCAGACTCTAGCTCAGACTTGTAGCACACTGGCTTCAAATTCTCGTGTGCAGGAAAAGGGAGCTTATTTTCAAATTGACTTCACACTTTTGTTTAATTAATGAATATTTACATGGAAAAAAGCAGTTATGAGATCAGGCACAGAAAGTATTGATTGTGAAGCAGAAAATGGATACAGGTATTGTTATAGGACACAGGTATTGTTATAGGACACATTTGCGCTTATGGTAGCCAGTGCCATAGGGAAGCCCAATTTCCCCATGGGGCTGACTAACCACGGATGGCTCTGTCCTAAATCACGTTGGGCGCCAAATCTGTTATAGGACAGGGAGAGGGGCAGCCCAAAACCCCGCAAACCTGCCTATTCTAAATGGGTTCTGCCATCTGCCGCATCAACACAAAACATATGAGACTTTAATGGGAAGGAACTTTAATTAAACTAGGAAACAACACAGGTAAGGCAAAGAGTCTAGTTTCTAAATGAAAGCACCCAAAGTTACCCATCCCCTCGTGGGTAAAAGTCCATCCATATGGGATTGGCCCAGAACAAGGCCCCAAAGCCTGCCACAAGTCTAAAGCATCTTCCAGTGGGGACCCACAGAAAAGGGTCACAAACAACCAGACAAGCCCGGAAGGAAAAGAGCAAAATCAACATCCAGATAAAAGCTGCCATTGTCACCTCCCCACGGGTCTCACCCACATCTGTGTCACCCAGTCCACGACCAAAAGACAAGCGCAGTTTTTTCACGTGTCTCTAGGCTCCATGCGCCTCCTCCAGGTCTCCTTGCTCCATCCTGCTTCCTTCCTCAGTCTCTTCTGCAGCTTCTCCTTTTCCTGCTCAGCTCCACCCTTCCTTGGGTGGGGCAGGGAACCTCCCCCTTTCCTGGGGACCACCCTGTTACAGTATCATTTCCAATGCTGCTAAAAAGGAATATTCAGGGCCTCCCCTGGTGGTGCAGTGGGTTGAGCACAGCGCTTTGAAGCTGTCCACAGCCTCTGCAGTACCAGTTCGATTCCTGGCTGGCCAGGGAGATGCCCACCTGGTGTGGCAGACCTCTCTGTCTCGCCTGCTGCTCCCCTCAGGAGTGTACTTCGTTCCTTCTGCCAGTTCTGCTCCCCGCTCTGTGTCTGGTGAATTCTCTCACCCTCCCACGCCTCTGGCCTGTACCCAGTGCTTGTATAAATAAATAAATCTTTAAAAGAAAAGAAAAGGAATATTCAAGGAAACTGAGTTTCCTGAATTCACAATTCTTATTCTAATTAAAAGCCCTTTGGCTTATCCATCCTCATTTACATAGCACTTTAGTAACAAACATTATCACCATGCTTGCCTCTTGAGTGTTCATCTGGGAGAAGCCTGCTGTAGCTGACAGTATTGTTCCAGAACGTAAAAACAGGTGATTTTCATTCCTGAAAGCATTTGACCTTATTCTTAAATCATTCTATTATAGAACATTGGGCTCTGGGATAGGGAGACTTGAAAATCCTATTTTTTGAAGAGATTCAAGTTTTCCCAAATCTGGTTGAGGCACTCTGCTCTGATATTCTCTGCTCTCTGTAGAGGGTCAGCAAGCTTTTCTTTTCTTTTTTCTTTTTTAAAAAGATTTATTTATGCATACAAGAGCTAGGTGGGTTACAGGCCAGAGGTGTGGGAGTGGGGAGGGTGAGAGGATTCACTAGAGACAGAGTGGGGAACAGAACAGTCAGACTGACTGAAGTACATTGCTGAGGGGAGCAACAGGTGAGTCAGGAAAGGGGTCCGCTGCACCATGTAGGTAGCTCCCTGGCCAGCCGGGGATTGAATTTGTGCTGCAGAGGCTCCTTAGTTTGAGTCTTAACCTCTTATGCCACCAGGGAGGCCCAGCAAGCTTTTCTTAAAGATTGTAAATATTTTAGTATTTGTGAATTATATGAATTGAAGTCATGTCCAATAAATGGACATGGCTGTGCTCAAACAGCTTTGTAAAAACAGGAGTCCCAATCTTAGTCTGTCAAATCCTGAGGTAAAGATGAATATAGGTAGGATCCTGTGTTCTGTCGAGAATATTTGAATATTCTCAATGGATGTTCAGAAGATGGTTTAGTATTTGGTTCTTATGTCAGAGAGATATGTACTCCAACTATAAAACTTTGGTATGAACTTTTACATTGGTTAGAAGAATTTAAGTACTTTTGGTCCAAACCATTTTATGTGAAGATTCCAAGGAGGTATATTCTGGGTTTGGATTAGGGTGGATATGTAGAAGGCTATGTTACATTTCCTAGATTCAAGCAGAACTAGCATTACATTCACTTAAATGCATTTGTCTAGAATAAAGTGACCAGTGGCCAACGCTTGGGAATAAATAAATAAAGAGAAAGTAAGCCTTCATTTTGGTGTAATTGCTACCCCAGTCTGACTTTAAAACTTTAAAATCATTAGTTTGACAACTTTCATTTACCCTATGCTTGCTGACCTTTTGTTTCTAGCTTAAAAATTAAAATTGTCTAAAGGAAGAATAAAATAATCATCCATATGATATTAAGCCACATAATTTTTGGTTCTTTTCATCCTTTCATCTAGTCAAATTAGCATCTCACATGTGAATTAAGCGCCATGAAGGATTTTCTTATGGTATCTTCCCCCATTAGAAATAATGTAAAACCATTGATTCTTTACCTGAAACTTTTTGATAGATGCTGATGAATTCATTTTTCAGTGAATTTCTAGATCAATAATTTCTCAAGGACTGTGCCTGGGTAAAACCCATTTTTGACCTCCAAACTGCCAGTAGTAATTGGCCTCAGAGGATCTTCCAATGAATGAAAAATGTATTCCTAAGCAAACTTGAAATCCTTCAGCATTTGCCCATTTTATACAAGAGACAGTGGGGAGAGACAAGAAGACATGAAGTGTCTTCTTCACCCCGATATAGAGAGTGACAGGCATCGGAAAATTCTCAAGTACCAGACAGATGAGTGGTGTTAAAAAGGATTACCTTGGTAAAGAAATGACAATATTTTGTCAGTCACTTTTAAGGTGAATTAAACAGAAGATTTATTGTAGAGGCCTAATTTTGTTCCAGAAAACTTTTTCTTGTCCTCTGAAATGGTTTACATATTAAGGAGGTATTCTGGCTGGAGATGCAGATTGAAGGAGTAACAAATGAGACGATGAGACGATGAAGAGAGAAGTAGAAGTTCTTTGTGACAGACATAAAATCTGCTTTGTGTGGTCTTATATCTGCAAAATTGCTTCTCACTGTTTTCTTCTGGAAGACTGTAATTCATGATATATGATAATTTTCCACATTATTACACAGATTAACTGTTAGGTTTTTTGATATGTATCAACAAAATTTTCCCCAAAGGTGCTATTAAAATAAAACCCTTATTTTGTTTTACTGTATGTCATTCAGTTATTTAAGCATCAACTTTCCAGACCATTCTATAATGTATTTCACAACATCCCAGTGAAAGAGTGAGTTGCTGGGCAGACACTTGCTACAGAGCCAATGTCTGTACCAGACTTGGTATGTTCAGAGGATCCTCTCACTAAGATTGGTGAACCTGTATACTTTTAATAGGCTATGATGACTTTTTACCCTGTATTTCATATAATCTCAGACATTTTCCCTCTTGAAAATAAAAAATTATTATAACGATTATCAGACTGTGAGATATAGCATTTATAGACATTTCAAAATATTATAGTGAACTCGAAAGGCTGAACAGATTCATTATAGTTTTTCAAGGTTTTGAATTACATTTTGAAGTTTATATCAGGCATTGTGATATTAAAGATAAATTATTTGAACTTGTATTGGTAGTAGCGTTGTCAGACAACGCAGGTCATTAGACCAGACAGTACATCTCGTGTCCACACGCCATATGAGTTTTGTAGAATGCTGCATTATGTAAACTGCTATTGCAAAACAGGCAATTAATGCACTGAATTTTCCATAAAATCCATCTAAGTAAATCTTGTGGCTTCTCATATTTGGGGATGAGCACCTTGCCTTTTAGAAGAGGCAGTAGAGAAAAAAAAATTCCACAGAAACCAGCAGTGTCTATGGCTGAAACTCCTTAAGTTTTTCATTTCTCTAGCTCTCTTCTCCATCTTGTTTATTCATCCAACATTTACTGAGTAGCTCCTATGTGCCAGGCATTGTTCTAGGCCCTGGGCATAGTCTGCAAGTGAAAGTCCCTGACCTGGGAGATTTATATTCTAGTAGGGAAACATGGATAAGCACAAATGCATAATATCACCAGATATAAATGGTTCCAAGATATCCTGCCGAATATCTCTACTTGCTGCATCTTCTCATTTAGGGGCAATGATGAAGTGAAAAACATCAATCATGGACTGCATTTTTGAGACAGTTTCATTAGTCTCAATCCTACCATCTGAAGTTGGGTAAACTCAAGTGTACTTCAGCCGTTTGGGTCTCATTTAATCATCTGTACAATGCAGATTAAGTGATTTTTGGATTAAGTGATTTTTTTAAAAGAGAATGGGTCTTTTCATGCTTTTAATAGTTTTATAGAGGCATCTCGTCAAAGTTGAGAGCCACTTTGTTGACTTCTATATTTTTAAAAAGTGGGGGGCCCAGTGGACTGTGGTGGAGGATTATTGGTGGTGGCTATGGTGTGCTAACTGCATGCAGAGATGTGAACCTGGACCTCTAAATCATATACAGTGTTGTAAACCCATGTTATCTCAATAAAAAATGACAGAATTAAAAAAGATGAGAAATCCTTGGCTATTCCATACACATACAACATTTTCAATACCAATCTAAACTTCTTTCATAAATAGCAAATATCTCAGTCATCTGATAATTTATCCATAAATAAAAGCACATTTATTTCAATTGTTGGTTACATGATCCCACCTCATTTGTGAAATGCAAAATGTGTTTTCTCTACTAGCTATGATCCTATCTTGGATGTGACACTGTCTCTCTCCTGTTAACCCAGATCACCAACTTTGAGTTCTGTTTAGCCTTCCCACGGCACTATTAGCTCCATGAAAACAAGGGTTGGGGCCTCACTTTTTTTGAAGAAAAACCCAAATGAGATTCCATGTAGGTAATCCACAGACATGTAATCATGCCACGCATGCCATGTTTGAAGGGTACAGGTCATTTGAGAAACATATTAGCTCCTCAGGCTATAGGAACAGTTGTCTTAGTAAAATTAGAGCTACGATACACCAAATGATATGCTAACATCCAAAAAGGGGAAATACATTTCCAGAACAATTCACAGACAATAGGACAAAGTGAATTAATAAATATTCTCACCTCGTCAGAAGCCTTGGTGGAATGTTAATATATATTAATGATGACTAATTATTAATAATACAAGCAAAGTAGCATATATTTTATAATTAGTTAATAGTTTCCTAAAGAAGATAAATAGTTTATAAATAGATAATAGATTAATAGTTTCCTAAAGAAGATAAAAGTAGCTGGAGAGTTGAATGTCAACTAAGGTTAGACTTATTAACTTGGTAGGAGTGGAGTGATGAAGGCACTGATTCTCTTGCAAGACAAATTGCTTTTCTGGTTTGATTTTGAAATATGGAAACTCAAATTTCAATCAATCCAGCAGCTAAAGATGACAGGAAATTTTATGAGACTAGAAGGAATCTTCCTTTCTTATCTGGATCAGATCCTACCACCCCCTTGGAGGTTTCTGAAGGCCGCATGTTCTGCCTTTGAGTTTTGTCATTTACTTTGTAATAAAATATCCTATACATATTTTCAAATTTGATCAGTGGGTCCTATCAAAAGGATACATCTTGTCAGTGTCTTTGAAGACACAATTAAATCTCTGCCTCAACAACTGAATTTAATTCCTTCCTGTTGCTCTGTGGTGTCAAGATATACAGTGTCAATGTTATCAGAAGAGCCTGACACGGGCTGCTGGGTTCCCAATATCTGGCCTGTCCTTCCAGTCACTGGAATAGTGACCACATCCTACAGGACCTGAGGTCAAAGCAGCCCAAGTTACCCTGAAGAACCTTGAAGGACTATCACAGCATCTTCTAGCAATAAACTCTCTCAAACAGTTCTGTATGGACCATGAGATGAGGGCAGGTCTGCAGACATGAGCTGCATAAATGAAGGTCAGAGATGAATAAGGAGGTTCAGATGACTTTTAGCAACCTAGACCACAGTTAAAGTTAAATTCTTGTTAGCAAAGGAAATGCACTTTGGTGCACAGCATGGCGTCTGAGTATGTGTTTAAGTTGTTGAGTGTGTGCTATCAAGAAGTACTCAGTCCCCTTTTCATAAGGACAGGGTCAGGAACGACAGCCCTGCTGATGTTGTGTGTCCTTACAACAGCAAGATTGCAGGGCTGCCTGGCAATCCAAAGGCTCCATGCTTGGGTACAAGAGTGCATGGGCACTGAGTTTGGATGTTAGGTCTCCAGAAAATCACTGTGTGCAGTGTACTCTTCAGGAAGTCCTTGAGTTGCAAACAAACACAGCTCTTAAGTCCAAACCTCCATAGGCACGATGGCTTCTTTAGTTCCAACAGAAGGTAGCAGGCTTTCTGTAGCCAAGAAATAAAAGGGGAATTGAACCAAGAAGCCGCGGATCTTTTTCAGTTCTTCCTCAGCTCGAACGGGATCTTCCTTTGCTAGTATGGGCTTGTTGATGAAGTCTCTCAGCTGAATTAAATTGTGTACTTCGTCACTGGGGAGGCACCGGAACACCTGATTCAAACACAAACAGGAAACTGAGTGATAAATTCAAAAGGAAGCATATCCTCTTTATGAAAGATTCCTATTCCAACAGACAACACTTTTGTTTTAGGAAACATGTATTAGTTTTATGTTACAGCATAAATCTGATTGAAGAATTGTTTCAAACTGCTAGATTTGCTTCCATTGAAATCATGGCTTGATCTGTATGTGGGATATACATAAGCCATTAACCCAGGACAAAGTCAAGCCTTATGGTATTGAATTTCATTGATGTTACTCCACATTAAGGTTAATTTTTTTTACAAAATAGTCATCTCTGAATTCACTGGATGTACTGATCTAAGAGGAAACTTACATATTTTCTCTAACTTTTTGTTTTGAAAAATGGTCAAAACTGTACTTTCATTAGTGTTATCAGTTGTGCACTTATTTTGCTCAGTTGTTTCAATTTTCAATTAAAAGAAGTTTCAGATATTGCGTCACTTCACAATACTTTGTGTGTGTGTTTGTGTGTGTGTGTGTGTGTGTAGGGTAGGTAAAGTATCAGGCTTTTCTGCCCTCCTACCATTGGGCTTAATGGTGGATCCTTGTGGCACTGAATGTGTGCCTGATGGCAGATACCTGGAATAGGGTGTGGGCATGCATAGGTGGGCACACCTGGGCTGAGGGACTGGGCTTATAAGGGTGGCACAGCAGAGTGCAGTGTGATGGTGTGGTGTCAAAGATGGAGGAGTGCAGCGGAGAGTGACGGAGTGCAATGGAGTACCGGGACTACAGAAGCATGAAGACAACAGGTCTGGCTGCGTGAGAGTGTGTGTGTGTGTTTGCGTGAGTGTGTGTGTGTGTGTGTGTGTATTGGGTTATAGGCCAGAAGTGTGGGGAGTGCTCTCATCAGAGACAGAGTGGGGAGCACAACAGGTGGATCAACTGAAATACACTGCTAAGGGGAGCAGCATGTGAGACAGGAGAGGCCTGCTGCACCATATGTGGGTTAGTTCCCTGGCAGGGGATCGAACTCAGGCCGCAGTGGTGAGAGCGCTAAGACTTAACCCCTAGGCCACCAGGGAGACTTCCTCAACATATTTTTCCTAAAAATAAGACCATGTACTTAAATAACCACAACATCATTCTCTGGATTTAGAAAAATCCATTGTGTGTCATATAAGATATAGTTCACATTCAGATTTATTTGTTATTCCAAAAATGTCTTTTATATATATTACCTCCACCCCCCATAAAGAGGCTGGGCACAGCAGATCAAATATAAAGCCCCATAGACAGTTGTCATGATTCATGAGGAATAGTGAAGCCGCCATTGTAGAAGGGACTCTGGAAGTCATGAAGGAAAACTCACTCTTCCCCAATTTCTGATAGATGGTCAATGGATCTCAGTTTAAATATTTTCTATGACAGGAATCTGGCTACTTAATGGAGTAACCTGTTACACTGTGGGACAACTCTTAACTTTTGTATGTTCTTTATCATAACCAGTGGATATAACTTAGCAGAAGATGCATTTGGCCTTCCTAACAAATGGAATTGGTTTCAAAACACCTCTCCCAAATTAGAGCTATTAATAAAGGAAATTACTCATTATTAATAAATTTCATTATAAGAATGGAAACCACTTACCATACAGTAAGTGCTAAATACATTTAACAGATTATTCTCTATTCTCATAATCACCCTAGCGAAAAATCACTCCCAATTTGTAAAAGAGAGGTTCAGAAAGTCAAGTCACTATACGTGGTGATATCAACAGCGATTTGGTGAGCTGTGAGCTGGATAGAACCTTGATCTGACTCACTTTTTGGTACCATATGCTTCTTTAAAATATTAACTATGATGTTTTTTGATACTGTTTTTTAAGCGTCTACAAAAGGCATTTTACCATAATTTAGAGGTGTGTTTTTTTTTTTTTTAATTTTTTTTAACATTTATTTATTTATTTATACAAGCACTGGGTACAGACAGAAGCACGGAAGGGTGAGAGAATTCACCAGAGCCAGAGCAGGGAGCAGAGCAGGAAGATGATGAAGCACACTGTTGAGGGGAGCAGCGGGCGGCAGGAGAGGTCTGCGCACCATGTGGGACCCTCACCCGGTGGCCGGGGACCGAAATGGCACTGCAGAGGCTGCGGGCAGCTTCGCAACCCAGCGCTCAACCACTGCGCCACTGGGGAGGCCCAGTGTGTTGGTTTTTTTTACACTCATGAAGAATACTGTGTACAAATAACTTGCAGAAATAATTATGTGCTTTTGTAATGATATTCCAGTTAAAAAAAAAAAAAATGGGAGAATTATGTAAACCTACCTTATCATAAATTGTAGCATTTCGAGCTGCCGTTGAAATCCACACTTCCTTGAAGAATTTGTCACTTACTGGATCCTGAATGTCCTCACTTGGGTCAGAAAGATAACCAAGGACAACCCTGAAACACAAGTGACCTCCAAATTGAGAAATTAAAATAATGCAGTTTGCAGTGGGCATTATTTATACTGGTGATGCAATTCAGTCACCCAACTATAGATATCAACTTACTTTTTTTCAGTTTGTCACTTTAATTTGATTTATTTAGTTCTGTGCTATTGTTTCACATCTTTAACATTTTGACAATACAGGATTTCTCCCTTCAGGTGTGGTCACCTGAGCTCTCCCACCACCAGAGCACCCACCGTCCTCCGCCATAGTTCATTGTGCTCTCCTGCCTTCCACCCCACCCCTGTTCTATTCCCTCCCTTCCTCTCTTGGATGACTCAGATCAAAGGTCAGTTTTCAAGAGTTGGTTTTAAAACTTGTCTTTGGTTTCTCTATATTCCACATCTGGTTTTTATCTTTCTCCTTCTGGCTTATTTTGCATAGCATCATCCTTTCCTACTCCATCCGTGTTGCCTGAACTGGTATGAGCTTATATATATATTTTTGATAGTTGACTCATATTCCATCACATCTTCTTGATTCACTTATCTGTTTTGGGGTATTTGGGTTGTTTCCATAGCTTGGATATTATAAATAGTGCTACACTGAACATGGGGTATAGGATTCCTTTCAAATTAGTGTTTTTGTGTTCTTTGGGTAGATACCTAGGAGTAGAATTGCTGGATTTTATGGCAGATCCATTTTTACTCTTTTGAGGACCATCCATACTGCTTTCCATAGGGACTGAACCAGTCTACAGTCCCACCAACAGTGAAGGAGGGTTCCATTTTCTCCACACCCTCACCAGCACTTGATATTTTTTCTTTTTTTTTTTTAACATACCCTACACACTGCTATGAGTACACCATTACTGCAGTTTAGATTTGCATTTCCTTGATGATAAGTGACGATGAACATTTTTTCATGTGCCTGATGGCCATATGGATGTCTTCTCTGAAGTGTTTTTTTTGCTCTTCTGCCATTTTTTTGGATTGGGTTGTTTGCTTTGTTTTTGTTGAGCTGTGTAAGCTCTTTTTTTTTTTTTTTTAAGATTTATTTACGTTGTGTAGAAGAACTGGGCTGTAGGCCAGAAGTTGGGGGGGGAGGTGAGAGGATTCACCAGAGACAGATTGGGGAGCAGAGGTGAATTCTCTGACCTATACTGCTAAGGGGAGCAGCGGATAAGACAGGAGAGCTCTGCTGCACTATATGTGGGTCAGCTCCCTGGCTGGATCAAACTTTGGCAGTCATGATAGCGCTGAGACTTAACCCCTCAGCTACTAGGGAGGCCCTGTGTAAGCTCTTTGTAGATCTTTGACATCAGTCCCTTATCTGATTTATGGTGTGCAAGTATTTTCTCCCAATCTGTAGGGCGTCTCTTTGTTTTGGATGCTGTCTTCTTTGCTGTACAAATGCTTTTTAATTTGTTGTAGCTCAAGGCCTTTTTCTCACATGCCTGTTAGGTTCAAGGACTATTAAACAGCTTGTGCACTGGATAGAGCAGAGGGGAAAAAGTCCTCAGAAGAACTTTAACTTTTATTTTATCTTATTTTTAATTATTTATTTATTTATACATTAAAAAACTGGGTGGGGTACAGGCCAGAGGTGTGGGGGAGGTGAGAGGATTCATCAGAGACAGAGTGGGGAACAGAACAGCTAGATAGACCAAGATACACTGCTGAGGGGAGCAGCGGGAATGTCAGGAGAGGTCTGCTGCACCATGTGGGTAGCTCCCTGGCCAGGGATTGAACTTGTTCTGCAGTGGCTATGGATAGCTTCATAGGTGCATCTTAACCCCTTGTGCCACCAGGGAGGCCCTGAACTTTGACTTTTATACTGAGTAAAACATATACTTACTGCAGATACTGCATCAGAGGAGTGACAGGATCTGACTCACTTATTAAACAAGCTACTGTACTGAGGATGGACTGTTTGGGGCAAGGGTTAAAACTGGAAGAGCAGACAGGGGCTACTACAGTAATATAGGTAAAAAATGATGGGGGCTTGGAGGGTGGAGATCAAAATCAACATGTTTTACTAATAGAGAAGATATTGATTGAGTATAAAAAAATCAGACATCAACCAAAACTAAAAGGTGTTTGGTTGGAGCAATTAGGACAATGCAGTTGCCATTTGTTGAGATGGGGAATTCTAAGGGTAGAACCAGATTGTGGAGGAAGATCAGGAACTCAATTTGAAACCTGTTGAGACATCTATTAAATATTCAAGTGGCAATGCCATGTAGGCAGTTGGACAAATAACTCTGGAGTTTGAGGAAAAACTTGGCTAGGTGATATAAATTTAATATTTACCCTCATATATAGTCATAAAGCCATGTGACTTTAACTGAGGTTTAAAAAGGGGCATAGGGCCTCCCTGGTGGCCTAGGGTTAAGTCTCAGTGCTATCACCTCTATGGCATGAGTTTAATTCCTGGCCAGGGACTTAACCCACATTGTGCAGCAGACCTCTCCTGTCTCACATGCTTCTCCCCTCAGCAGTATATTTCAGTAAATCCACCTGTTCTGCTCCCTACTCTATCTCTAATGAATCCTCTCACCCCTCAAACCTCTGGTCTGTACCCCAGTTCTTCTATGCAAAAAAAGGAGTATAGACAGAGATGAGGACCCAATGAATCTCAACAGTAGAGGAGCAGCTAGTGAGCAGAGGATGTGATATGTTAGAACTACACAAAGTAGTATATCATGTAGAACTATGATAAATTCAGAGGATAATTAACCACTGGATTTAATGGAGTGGAGGTCATTATAGTATTATCTTCTTTGTAGTTAAATTAATGTAGAATTACATCATCATTTTTAATGGCTCCATAATTTCCATTCATGGGAAATTTATTTAACCAATTATTTTATTTGTGGCACTTTGGGTGGTGTACAGGTTTTATTTACTGCATACAATGCTACAATGAACATAATTTACTCATCACATATAATAGTTGTGAATTTCTATTATTTCACTAAGAAAAATTTTAGAATTAAATTCCTGGGTCAAAGAATAGGCAAAATTTACTGCAAGAATGGCAGTTCCAAATCATATGCTATTAATTAACCGGGCAGGTGCTCCTAATAATTTCCAACATTATCTATCCCTGAAAAATCTTGGTCAGTTTTATAGGGATAAGAGGGCATTTCATTTTTACTATCGGTCTTCACTTATTCTACTATGGAAAAAATCCTTAAAATAAATGTACCTGGCACCACAGTTTCACTAGGATTCTTAGAGTTTTATAGCCTTAAAATTTTATTTCCACATTAAATAATGTCTCCCTCAGACTATAAAGGAATGACTTTAAAAAGGATTTAAGGGGTGATGTTTGTAGTTATATAAGACCCAAAGTTATTAAGACCCAAAGCAAAATTATACTGCATCATATTTGAAGGACAGTTCAAGTTATGACAGTGAGTCAGTTATAATAATTCCTTTCATTTGAGTCAGTGCTAACCAGCTGAACATTGAAAAGAGTATTTCTATGATTTTTCAATTTAGGTAAGAGGTAAGGCAATGTGTACATGAAAATATCAGTTAAGAGCTTACCTGTAGAAAAAAAATGTTTAAATAAGTTTATACAGGGCCTCTCCTGGTGGCACAGGCAGTTGAGTGCTGCGCTGTGAAGCTGTCTACAGTCTCTGTAGCGCCGGTTCAATCCCAGCCAGCCAGGGAGATTCCCACATGGCGCAGCAGACCTCTCCTGTCTCGCCCGCTGCTCCCCTCAGCAGTGTATTTTGTCAGTCCACCTGTTCTGTTTCCCGCTCTGTCTCTGGTGAATCCTCTCACCCTCCCGCGCATCTGGCCTGTACCCCGGTTCTTGTGTAAAATAAATAAATCTTTTAAAAAAAGTCTACACAGATAGTATTAGGTAGTAAGTTATTTTCCCTGTCAGTTTTTTTTTTTTTTAAATAGAGGCATGTTATTTATTTATTTATTTATTCATTTGTTTGTTTGTTTGTTTATACAAGCACTGGGTACAGTCAGAAGCGCGGGAGGGTAAGAGAATTCACCAGAGCCAGAGCGGGGAGCAGAGCAGGCAGAAGGACCGAAGTACACTGCTGAGGGGAGCAGCGGGCGGCAGGAGAGGTCTGCGCGCCATGTGGGACCCTCCTCTGGTGGCCGGGGAGCAGCCGGGGATTGAACTGGCGCCTCAGAGGCCTCGGGCAGCTTCGCAACCCAGCGCTCAACTGCTGCACCACCATGGAGGCCCATCCCTGTCAGCTTTTTAATTGCGAAAAATTTATATGAAAATGCACAACAAATTAGCATAAAGTACTCTGGATATTCTTTGGAAGACTAGTGCTTAAGAGAAAACTACTTTGATATTATGTTGATGTTTCAATTACAGAACGTTTATGCATCAGTGGGACAGTAAGAAACTGCAGAAAATACTCTCCTTTCTTTCCATTCTGCAAGTCTATCACTTTAAATGATTCTGAGCTCTGCTTGTGTGGATAACCACTTCTGTTGAGGGATGGTTTCATCTGTACAGTTTGGATAATTTTCTAGGACGTAATGAACTGCTCCGCACATAGTTGTGACATTCAGTGCAGTACCCTGATGGTTGATTCTATTTAGAATTGATTTCACATTGAAATGTGTCTCTGTTTCTATTCAAAAATAGCCCAGATGGAAAACAGATTGAAGTTGCATTTCTTTTTTTTTTTAAGAGAGAAAATGACTGTACTCTAGGCTACAATATTTATCTTGGAGAACATCTAATAAAAAGACCTAAAATCAACACAAAGTTTTTGTGGTGATTTTTAACATAGTATCTGATTTTGCCACTGAGGCAAACTGAAAATGATTGTTCAAGAACAACTGTCTTTTTATGGCAGTTTGAAAATTACCAGGAAAAATAAAAGCACCTAGGAATAAATGTAGCATGAAATAGATATGTGTAGAAAAAGAAAAAGAAAACTCTAGTGATTATTGAAGAACCTCCCTCACTCCCAATAATAAAAACACTAGAGCTTATTTAAAAATAAAATAATTTGGATAGACTGAAATTTATACATTGTCCTCCCATAGGATGACCTTCCTTTCTTATATTAAGCTTTAAATCCACTGTAATCCCAATAAAAACTAATAAGAAAACTTGCATAAATAATTCTAGAGTCCTCATGGAAGGATAATCATTTAAGAGTAGACAAGATTACTATAGAAAAGAATACTTATTTGGGAAAAGGTATGGCAAGAAATAGTATTAATATGTATGATTGTAATAATTAAAATGGTATCACACTGCCATGAAAGTAAATAGACTTTCAACAGAATTCAATAGACTTAGAGATGTATTGGGATATTTGGCAATTTTGTGTGGAGGTGCATTCCATATAAGAGGGACACAGAGCACCATACTATTCTGAATCAATTGGTTTATTGAGGGGAAAGAGAGTTACCGCCTCATTTCTTATATTGAAATAAATTGCAGATATTAAATATAAAAAGTAATATCAAACAAGCACTAGAAGAGAATATGAGTAAATATTTGATCTTGGGCTGGTATAGTTATAATATAGCATAAAAGGAGAAAAACAACAATAAAAAACTGATTAACAATTGAAAGTTTCCTAAAATATGGTTAAAGGGCAACTGACAAATCATTTTTGGATCAAAATTCCCAGAAGACATATTCGTTAGCTTCATCTACCTAAATTCTTATAAATCATTATGAGAAAATGAAATATTCCAAGAAAATGGGCCAAGGTCATCAACAGAAAAGGTAATTGACAAAAGGACACTTATATATGATTAATGAGCAAACATTTTTGGGGAGAGGGGTAGGAAAACTGTCAAAAACAACTACTTTAATTAAACCAAAATATTCATGGGAGAGCTGAAATGCAGTTCCCCAATACCATAAATTATGCAGTGGAGTTTCCCACATTTGGGGAAATCAGGGTTCAGCACACCTGGGGTGCAATGGGGGAGCCTCATCTGTGAAGACCACCTTCACGATCATGGTGTCCCCTCTGCCAGGTAAGTAAGAAAAAATTTTTAAGAACCTTCAACAACACAAATTAAAATAATGAAATTTCATTTGAAATCTACCAAACTGGTAAAGATTAAGTAAATAATAGGACTCAGTTAAGGTGGAGAATAAGCTCTCTAAAACATTATTGGTGAAACAATAAGAAATTAGAGGACAAAAGGAAACTTCACACTTCCTCTAACTAGAAATTCCCTAGCTAGGATTTAGTCAAGGAAATGAGTAAGAAGGTAAACAAGAGGCAGATATAACCATCTTTTATATAAGAAAAAAATCTGCCTATAAATGAGGTATTAATTAAAGAAATTACGGCATACTCATTCTATTTATTACAGCACATTTAATACAGTACATCTGCTAAATGTACTTAATGACATGGTAAAGTATGCTATTATTTAAATAACAAATCATTTTGTAGAACTGCAAGATCCTAATTATGTTGTTTTAAAAAGAAATACAGTACAGTAATATTTGCATAGAAAAAGTGAAATAACATATATCAAATGTGAACATTTTCAGCAGTGGATGGTGGGATTACAGAGGAAGTTAATTTTTTTAACACTTTTCTATATTTTCCAAAATTTCTACATAAAAATAGGTTGTAATCAGAACCTTCTAACTGTAATTATTTTGCATTTAGTAAGTTAAAAGAAGTCCACTACTCTGAAGAGAATACTTAAGTTCTCTAGGAACTGAACATGCATGACATTTATTTTTAGTTTATACAAGAAAATGTTTCCTTTATATATGCTACAGTAGGCAATTGATGTGTTGATTAACAAGATGTTAATTTTAAACTCAGTCCCTGCTAAATAAAAAAAATTCACATTAGAAGCTAATTGAAATGTCAATGGTTTGAAAAAAAATCTTACTGGCAAAACAATCAGTAACAAAGGCAATAGACACAGCAGTAAAAGCTGCAGAAAGGTATTGATAGATTTTGAAGAATGGATTTGCTGAGCTCCTTGGGCAGCGAGAGCAGAAAGAAGTCTCTGGAACAGAAGCATGTCTTAGTTCTGGACTGTTAGACATGAAGGAAAAGGCTGCCAGCATTTCCAGGGGGTGGGGATGCTCAATGACCACCTAACTATCTACAAAGAAGCCAGTTCCCAAACTTGACCATATGCTGGAAGGGTTAAAGCAGTAGCTCTGGGAGGTGCTTCTGTGCAGTGCCTTCTGTCAGTTTGCCCTCAATCAGGAGCACTAGACGCATCTCACCGTAGTGCCCACTGAAATCCCACCCTGGCAAATGTAGTTGTAGAGTGAGAGTTGTGACTCACTGCAAACACCTGGAGTGGAGAAAAGTAGGGTTGCTGCACAGACAAGAGGGGATGTTAGCATGTGTGTGAACAAGGAGAAGAGTAAACGAGGGGAAAAGAAGCTTTGGGGAGCAACATTTGAGGATAGGACACAGATAATGGCAGAGCAGAAAAAGGGACCAGGAAAAAGACTAATTATAATAAAGTAAAAATCAAAATCAACAAGTAACTATAAACCAGAGACATACTATGGAGGGGGGGAGGGTCAAAATAAGGGGGGTGGGAATTGTATGGGGACTATAACCATGATGAAAATGCATACATTGTGCAAAAATGAAAAATGATGTAAAAATATATAAAATAAAATAAAAAATAGTGCTAAAAATAAAGTGTTGGTTTTCAATAAAAATAACAAGAACTATTAAAATATAACATGTTTGTGCCACATAAAGTCATCTCATACCAATGATGGTTCACAGGGACATTGGGCAGTGGTATTGTGGGACAGTTTCAGATAAAGAACCTGGGGAAGATGGTGTGTGTCCTCTGGTTTCCAGACCCTAGAGCAGTGGAAATCCATGAGAGACAGAGCTATAGAGGACCCACCTAAAGCACTGCAGCCGAAGTCCTTGGGCAAACCGGCCAGCCTGATACTCTTCTCCATCCATCACTGAAGGGACCATCTCCGTGTCCTGCACTATAACAGCCATTTCACTGTCTCGCTTTCCCAGCATGCTTCGGTCATTTATGTTGGCAGAGCCTACATGGGGTACAGTGTAATTGAACAATTTTCCCTATACATATTTGTCCTCCCCATTAAATTCTTGCTAAGAAAACCCTAAATTTGTTCAGGTTGTCAAGAGATGTAATGCTTTAAAGAGGAGAAACCCTCCTCTAACCCAGGGATTAATCTTGACCACTTTGAGGCAGCCAAGGTAAATTCACTATTTACACAGCGATTAGCTTAGTTACGGGCACTTGATACAATTTTAGTCAGTGTGACCCAAAAGGAAATTTTTCTCCTTTTTATAATTGGACATTAGGTAAGGATGTTGTCTCTTCCAGCCTTAGGATATTTTGACTTGAAAGCCTGGATGAAGAAATCATTCCAGGCTCTGCTGAAGCCACGTTGTAACAAATAATGTTGCCACAGATAATGGCAGAGCAGAAAGAAGCAAGACCCTGGGTCTTTAAATCAGTAACCCTAGGATTTTCTAACCTTCCATTCTGTGAAACAATACATTTCATTATTGGTTCATACATTTCCGGTTGAGTTTTCTATCTTGTGGTTTAAGGATTCTGACTGATAGAATCATCAAACACACAAAGACACACAAGTTGACTAGCTCAATAGAGAAGATGGCTTTGCTTTTAGACTTAAGAATCAGACTCTGTACACTGTAATTCATGTCACACAATCACGAATGTCAAAACCAAGAGCCCCTTAACAGTCAATAGAGTACACTCTCACAAACAGATCAGCGCTGCTGCCTTGGGGTTTCTATTCTCTAGCTGCACCTGTGGATTGTGCCAACAGCTTCAGTATCAATTTCCCTCTATCCTATTTTTAAATCCAAATGAGCCAAGAATGTTGACTTTCCCAAGTGAAGGGCAAATATGTTTATTCAACCCCGTGAGTCCTGTGCTCCTCAGTCATGTATTCAGAGACCTCATGTTTGCTTTTTGCGCTCATCACTGCAGATTCATGTTTCTGAATCTCCAGAGTCCTACAAACTACAGAAAGGGCCTGAGTGACCCCTTTTCCTTTATTCCCCTCTTTCCTGAGTCACACATTTCACTGCTTCTGCAGACAAGGGGCGAAGGTGGGGCTAAATGGCTGCAAGTCTACTCTCCATGAGGAGACAGTCAGGGTGTAAGGAGAAAGCAGCTCGACCACATGCCCAAAGGATGGGTCATCAGAAAAAGCTGCCCCTTTGATGACCTATGGCCATTGTCAATACACAAATCTGTGCTAACTGCTGATGTGAATGGTGGCCCACAGTGGCCTTGGGTGGCCAACAGTGGAACACCTCACAGAAATATGGCAGCACTGTGCAAGTGTTGTAAAGTGAGAATCTTTGAAACACTGTTTCGTGAACAACAAATAATCCTTTGTAATTAACATTTGACTATGTTATAAATCTCATAGCTTCTATCTTTGGGTTTGACAGATGGCCTAACATTAAAGTGGGCAAGGTCATGTTATCTTTCTCACCTTTAATTTGATCTTTTATAAACTGAGATCATAATGTAGACCTCCTAGGGTTTTTGTGAGAATTAAGCAAGATCATGTGAAAGCACTTTCTGATCTATAAACTACAAATGTTAATTACCATTGGCATTATTAACAAGTACTTGTTAACTCTAATACCTGCATCAGAGAATGCTACCATAGGAAGGCAAAATTTGTTGGCATGTAACAATTGTATCAAAGAAATCTCTCTGGGTTAATCATTTCCCACTCAGGTGTGTGAAGTGTAAGGAGGTAAAGTTCTAACAATGGTCTGGGACTGTACTGCCCTAGAGTCCCTGCAGAGGCCACTCTCCTGCTGGGAGTTGCTGCAATGGGAGAACCTTTTCACTGTCAGGAAAAAGAGGTGTGAGCCACCCTGGGAAGGTTTACACACACTCTCTCAATCTCTCTTTCTCTCTCTCCGCACCCCCCCCCTTCCAGGCTCCCATGCTAGCAGAGGGAGGAATACATTTCAGGCTTGCTGAGCTAGAATTCTTTGACACAGGGTGCGGTGCTTGTATTTCAAGGGCCAACATGGAATTACCCAGAGGACTGTGAAGAAAGATTTAGAAAATTATAGATGTATTTAATTGCTCAGATACTGAAAATGAGGTATTGATGGATTTAAATGCTACTGACAGTCTTGTTAAATGTTCCCATATTCTGCATATAATTTTAGAACAGCAGATATGGTATATTCCCAATTCTATATAAAATAAGGAAGAGAGAAGAAGGGATCTAGATAAGGTATTGAATTTTTAAGAGCAGCAAGTACTTCTGGCAAAGAGATGAAGACAATATGGAGAATTTTGACCTTGTACTCTATACACACCCTTAGAGTTTGAATTGTTTACAACAATATGCTTTGGACTCATGTATTACATTTTATGTGGTGATTTTATTTGGATATGGACTTGATAATTTAAAACTACTTAATTTTCTGATTCTCAGTTTGGTTTCTCTATAGTCCACATATTAGTGACAGCATCTGGTGTTTATCTCAATTAAAAATATTAGATAAATAACTTTTAAAAATAAAGCCATTTAATTTTTAGAAAATGATCTATGCTAAATCTGCTAATGTCATGGAACTTTTAAAACTCTTTTGCAAAATGCAAAAGAGTATATGAAAACACATATGCAAAACTTTGGCAATAATAAAATAAACAGGACTGAATATATCACCCAGGATGAAAAACAGAACAGTACCACATCCAGAAGTCCTCAAGTGTCTTCCAATGTATGTCCTTCCCTTCCAGAGAGGGAGACTTTCTTTTTTTACTTTTTAATTCATTATTTTCTTACATTGTTGTTATTTTTTGGACAGCATTTGATTTCTCCCCTCAGGTGTGGTCCCCATAGTTTTCCCACCAACATAACCCCCACGATCTATTACCACAGTCCCTTGTGCTCTTCCCTTCCCTGTTTTGAGCCCTCTCCGAGAGGAAGACTTTCTAAAGAATTTTGTGTTCATCATATTCTACATATTTTCCTAATCAAAAAAAGTTCACTTTTGACTTATTTTTAATTTTTATAAATGCAATCATGTGATAAATAATCTTTTTTTCAGATTTGTATCTTTCACTCAATATTATGACTTTGGGATTATCTGTCTGCAATTATAATGCATTATTTTCCTGAAATGAGTACACCAGGATTTATATATTCATTCTCTTGTTAATGGAGGTGGGTTGCTTTCAGAGTTTTGCTCTGATACACAATTGTGTTCTACGTGATTTTGTGTCTGTTTCCTGGTTCCACAAGTGAAGTTGGGGCTCTATAAACAGGAGTGCACTGTGAGCTGCTGTGTGTGACTTTATTTGTTAAGAATCATGCAGAATGTTCTAGCTGTTTCCAATTTATATTCCTACTAGCAGTGGAGGCCACTTCCTGGTACTCCACAGCCTGATCAGTATTTGAATTGTCCAACTTTTTTATGTTTGCCAATTGGTAATTTCAAAAACTGTTCCTTATCTCATTATATTAATGAAAATGAACATCTTTTATGTTTATGGGCCTCAGGTATTTCCTCTTTCATGAAGTTTCTATACAATTTCCTTTGCCTATTTTCTTTTGAATGTTATCTTTTCTGTTTGGTTTATAGGAGTTCTTTGTGTGTTCTGAACATTGTGTGTTGTGAATATCTTCTTTCAATTTATGGTTTCTCTTTTTATTCTCTTTATAGTATATTTTAATGAATGAAGTTCTGGATTTGGATTCAGCTGGATTTATCTTTCCTTCATAGTTCATGAGTTTTTTTTAGAACTTTTTAAAGACATTGTGAATCCTTCTGTGGCAGGTAGAATAGTGACCTATAAAATGACCATGTCCCAGTCCTCAACTTTGGTGAATATATTATGTCACCATCACAATGGGACTTTAGGCTGCAGATGGAATTAAAGTCGCTAATCAGCTGCCCTTAACACTGGGAGAGTCACCTGGGCTCTCTAGGTGAAAACAATGTACTCACAAGGGCCCTTACAGGTAATGGAGAGTTAGAGGGAGAAATGATTGCAGAAGAATGGGTTAATGCTTTAGGAAATGTTTCTGTCTTCAAATGTTTCTGTCTTCTGTCCCAGAAAAGGAATGTGGGCAGCTTCTAGAAAATGCAAGGAAATGGACTCTCCTTTAAGACTCCAGGAAGGATTGTAGCTCTGCCCACACCCAGATTTTAACCCAGTCAGACCTAGGTGGGCTTTTTAACCTGCAGCACTGTTAGATAATGTATTTGTGCTGATTTAAGTCATTAAGTTTGCAGTCATTTGTTATGGCAGTGACAGACAACCAATACACCAAATTCAATCCTGTATATTTGCTTTAAAGAAAATCTTATTCTCCTACTAATCCCAAATAGGTACTCCATAGTTTCCACTTACTTGTGTCCCCTGTGTCTCCTGATGAGAAGTTTATGCTAAGACTGCACGTGAGTGAGCATCACCAGGGAATTTTTTAAACATAATTATGACAAAAACAGAAGCAAAATAATCCTGATGTTGGGTTTCAAACCAGACCAATTCATCAGAACTTCTGAAAGTATGAACCAGTCATCAATATTTTTCCCAATACCACTCCGTCGCTTTATCTGTCGTCCATTAATATATCTTTTGGGGGATTTATTTTATTTTTATCATTAATTGTTTGGCCACTGGTTTACAGCCCAGATAATATTTAGGAGTATACCTTCACATCCAGACAAATGTGAGATATACTTTGAAGTAAATTTGTAGACACCAATAAACTTTTCCCTAAGTGATGTATTTTCTAAATACCTCGGGTGATTTTAATGCAGCCAGGGTTGAGACTCATAGGACCAGATCGAATGTGATCCCTAATTCGTGGTTTTCCACCTATGCACCCTTGTTGATTGCTTCTGGATCTGCTTGCCCCTATCAACGCAATATCCATCCTGCTGATTCTCATGCAGGTGGATAGACTACCTGACTCTCCTCTAGCGTCGATATCTGTAGGGCAGTGACGCAGTTTCCATCATGGTTGCTAGCTCCCTGTTGTGCTTTGCAGGGGATTAGTGAATATTAAAATTGTTTCACTCAGTCAAAAGGATAGTCAACCTAAATACTACTTAAGGTTAGTCTTGTTTTGTTTAGGAAAGCTAGTAAATACAAGTTTGGTTAAGTGCCAATATTAAAATGGACTTGAAAATTGGAATTGGTCACAGATTTCATGACTAGTAGGGCCGCCCAGGGCAACAGATAATGAAATCTATACACGAAAGATATTTTTAATGTGAGAAAATAAATATTTGCTAATGAGGAAAAAATGAGGATAATTAGTCATTTTTCTTATGTCAATTATTCAATAATTCTGGCATAAATTTGCCAAGGTACAAAATTAATCACAGGTTACTTGAACTTCTTTTATGTTTAAGACCGATAAAATATTCTCAACCTAACTTCCCAAACTCCTCTCTGAGAATTTTAAACATGGTTCTCTGTATTATGAACAATATGTGAGAACAGCAATGAAAATCCCATTTAAAATTAAAGTTTCCAGGGCCTCTCCTGGTGGCACAGCGGTTGAGCACTGAGTTGCGAAGCTGCCTGCAGCCTCTGCAGCGCCAGTTCGATCCCCGGCCACAGGCGAGGGTCCCACATGGCGCGCAGACCTCTCCTGCCGACTGCTGCTCCCCTCAAGCAGTGTGTTTCGTCAGTCGGCCTGTTCTGTTCCCGGCTCTGGCTCTGGTGAATTCTCTCACCCTCCCGTGCTTCTGACTGTACCCAGTGCTTGTATAAATAAATAAATAAATCTTTAAAAAAATTTAAATTAAATTAAAGTTTCCAGGGAGGAAAAAAAAAGTACCTACAGACTTTTTCTTAGGGGAAATCTGTTCTTCCCTTGGGGAAGGACTAAAGAAAGACCCAGCCTTCACAGACTGAAGGGAGACCTACCCATCCTCACCAGGCTACAGCCTTAGTATCAAGAGAATTAATAAGAATTATATACAAATTGATCAATTGTTGCTAGTCTAAATAAATTGCTGCCTTTGAGGGTTCAAAGATTTTTCTAGAAAGCAAGTGAATCAACAATCTCAACAAATCTATTTAACTGTTAGCTCTGTTACTGAAAACTACTTTGCATTTCTGCTTCATTTAAAGTAAAGCAGGTTGAAAGTCAAAATGACCTCTATAAGGAAAATATTTATATCTGCCAATTTTTACTTCAAGAGTTCTTAAACCTTACTTAAGAGATCCAGTGTATTTTATTTGGCTTGTTTCATTTTTCCATTTCAGCAAACATTAATATTTTTCCCTTCCGACTGTCACTGCCAACTTTAATATAAAACAATTGTAAGATTGGCTTCTGAAGAGCAAGGCAAGCAGCTTTGGGAAATTAGAGAAACATTGTTTATTAGGGGAAGAAATAAACCCCTATAGGGAGTTTCAATCCCTATAAAGCAAGAGATTGAAGATGTATTTTTTCTTAAATGCCCTCAATAAGTATTAAGCTCTTGCCTACACAAGCATGAGAGAGTATATGTATATACCAGAGTGTATATATTTTTCTGACTTCACAACTTCTTTTTTTTAAAGATTTATTTATTTATGCATACAAGAGCTGGGGCACAGGCCAGAGATTGGGGGTGGGGTGGGAGGGGTGAGAAGATTCACCAAAGACAGAGTGGGGAACAGAACAGGCAGACAGACTGAATTACACTGCTGAGGGGAGCAGCGGGCAAGACAGGAGAGGACTGCTTCGCCATGTGGGTTTCTCCCTAGCCGGGGATCAAACTCATGCTGCTGTGGCTGCGGATTGCTTCATAGTGCAGCGCTTAACCCTTTGCGCCACCAGGGAGGCCCACCACTACTTTTTCTTTCTTTTCAAATTGTTTCAGATAGGAAAATCTCATTATTCCTAGACATGAGGTTTTTTTTTTCTTTAATTAAGTGCAGGATCAAGATGGCCAAAGCATATTTACCGCTTAAAACTTTAAAACGCTACTCGATATTTACTGTCTTAAAGAATAGGGAAATATTTTAGTTGCAGTTATATTTTATTTAAAACAGATGAGCAGAATTCCCAATAGTGGGACATATCAAACACTGACATGACTTCCCTTTTTGGTCAACTCCCTTATCTAGTTTGTTATTAACACTCAGTTTCTCATCCTGGCTTTTCACTGTTTGTGTAACATAGTAGTAGAAGGCAAAATAATTCAATGATGAGAAAATGAAGCTTTTCATATGTATAAAAGAATGAAATTGAACATCCACTCCCCGTGTTGATCTAATCTGTATAGAATGTACAACCAGTAACTCTCTCTCTCTCCTGAACCTGCCAGTAGGGAGAGGACTTTTGAGAAATCTGTGTATTGATTATAAGAAAAGATGGCAGACTTTAGTCTATATCACATTAGTACTACACAATTTCACACACACACACACACACACACACACACCCCAAAAAAGCTGCTCCTCTCTGCTTCCTAATTAGTGATATCCAAAACATAGGCTAAGGAAACAACGGTAAGCACTGAAGCAGCAATATTTTAATATCATTTTAATTCTGACTCTTTCATAACTCAGATCTGTGGTAATGATTAGTAGATGCAAACATATGCAAATTATCATCAGTTACTCATTTGTGACATATCCTTCCCTGTTCTCCAATTCCAATCCCACAAATCCAGGCACTTGGATTCAAAATTAAAATGAGGGGATAATAAGGAATTAATGAAAGCAGACATATTACTGCACTGCTGTGTTTAAGTTGCTGCCTCTGGATACTGTAATTTGCACAAAAGCAATTTAATTGCTCTGTACCACTGCTTCTTCATAGATAAAAATAGGAATGAGTTAGGATGCAAGAAGAAAAAGACTACCTAAGAAAAATTTAGATATTGCCCGACCATCCCTCTCAATTCAAAGGGAGCTTGGGAAGAATACAGAGAAAGATTTTTGTGTGGGGCAAGTTAACTAGCAAGGAGTGTAATTCCAGACCATGTACTTACCGATAATAACAGTGTTGTCATCAGCAATTAGCAACTTGCTGTGGACATAGATTAGCTCAGTCACTAGGTTTCCTTCTAGTGTTGAGTGTGTTCTAAGGCCACAGAATGATATGTAATTTATCCACTGGTTACCAACTGTAAATTAAAGAAGAAATTGCTCAAATCAGTATGACCAAACTCAGTAAAAGCACATAAAATTTTCTTGTCTTTCAAAATTAATATACTACTTACCCAGGTTTCAAAAACTGAAGAATAGGCTGTAGTATGAATGTGTGTGTGTGTGTATGTGTGTGTGTGTGTGTGTGTGTGTGAGAGAGAGAGAGAGAGAGAGAGAGAGAGAGAGAGAGAGAGAGAGAGAGAGATTTCAGATTTCACCATGGATCTACTTTTTTTATCTAAAGAGTTTTATATAGTTAGTATGGGTGGGTAGACATTTTTAAAAAATCATATTTAATTGGATGTCTTTAAATTATATTGCTGTCTCTATGCTTACTATTTTTTCCCTAGTCTATATTTTGCATATCATTAATCAGGACACAGAGTGGAAGAGCAGAGCGGAAGGGGTGTGTGTGTGCATGTGTGTGTGTATGTGTGTGTTGGAAATTATGTAGTATTGATAGGGTGTAGCCCTAGACTATGTCTTCCTTTAGTCAAGGCAATCCAAAAATATATTCAAATAGGAACGTTTTATTGTAATGATTTGGTGGGTAACTACTAGAGTGCTAGTTAAAACTGAGCCAGAGGAGATTGCCCATGAATTCAGTGTGACATTTGGCATCTTGGTTGACACCTGTTGCAGTTTAAATCACACTCAAGATGTTTATCCAAACTACCTGATGTGAATATATATAGCTTGCAGCATATTCAGCACAAAGCATATTTAAATTGTATAGATTTTGAGCAAATAGAAATGTTGGCAATTAAAGTCCATTCCCAAATTATTAAAATTAGGACATGAATTAGTCCATTCCTAAATTATTAAAATTAGGACATTAGGCTACATTTGACACTGGAGAATTTTCTTGAGGACAAGCAGTACCAGGTTTGTACTTTAAAATATTGCCCTATTGTCATGTGAGGGCCATTTAGGTGATAAGAAAAAATGCATTCAAGTCATTCCATAATCATTACCCAAGCATGAGTGTTAGTCACAGATTTTATGGGCTCTCTCCCACATAGTAGTTGTTCTGGGTAAGCAAAGCCTGATACTAAGAATAAATGGAGTGGAACCAAACCATCACAAGTTCTAATAGAAAGAAAATAGAAAATTTTTGCCCCTTTAGACAGTGAAGCATACTCAAAGAAGCAATGGGTAGTTCATGTTCAATTTACTGACATTTTCATGTATTACTGGTGTTTTCTATTTTATGGTTGGTGGTATTCATTGTTTCTATTAAAATTTGGTTACTTGAAAAGAAACTCATTCATAGGTTTATACACAGATTCCCCCATTTACAGCTGACCCTTTCCTTTATATGAGTGATATTGTAGCTGTGCTTTCCAAGAGTTGATGTATGCTAGTACATATTGTGTAAGAAAGGCATTTCTAAACATTTTTATGTAATGAGATTTTTGAAAATAAACTTCTTCTCTATTTGTTAAGGTATACTGGAAAGATGCTTAATCTAAAGCATCTCCTCTTCTTTAAAGTCTTCTTTGATTTAGGAGAGAGAAGCAAATCCTCTTTTATATACTTTGTGCCCATAAAATTCCTGGAAAGTATTTCTAATATAGCACCTAATATATTATTTTACAAATATTTATTTAATCTTCCATTTCTCTTACTATTGTGGGGGTCTTATATATCTTTACATCCTGAATCTTCACATAGTTCCAAAAACAACTGAATAAAGGAATGGATGAATGAATATTCAGATGAAAGTTAGTATTTTAGTTTTTGATTTCTCTGTATCACCTACTTTCCTGCAATTGGCTCATGACCTAAAATTTTAAGACATAAAGCAGCTTGCAAAAGGTATTATGGGCCAAATCCCTTGCTAAAATAAACAGTTTTTTGGAATTAACTTTAACTACTGGTATTACTTAACTACTGGAGCCAGTAGTTCTCAGTGTGCATTAGGACCATATCTTTGGGGACTTGTTAGAAGCAAAATCTGGGAATCCCCTCCAAAGGTTTTGGTTCAGTAGAAATCTATAATTGCATAAGTGTGTTAGGGGATATAATTCTTTGAATGACACTGCAATGTGGCCTTGGTATTTGTAGATTTAAGATTAACAATACACATTCATGGTCAAGTGAAATGCAGTCCAGGGGTAGAAATGTACTCGGTGTAAGGAAATTCATTAATATAAAACACGATATGAATCTAAGGCAAAAACCACATGATTAGGGCCTCCCTTGGTGGCGCAGCAGTTAAGCGCTGGGCTGCGAAGCTGCCCGAAGCCTCTGCAATGCCGGTTCAATCACCAGCCACCGGCGAGGGTCCCACATGGCGCACAGACCTCTCCTCCATGCCCGCTGCGCCCCTCAGCAGTGTATTTCGTCAGTCTGCCTGTTCTGTTCCCCACTCTGGCTCTGGTGAATTCTCTCACCCTCCCACACTTCTGACTGTACCCAGTGCTTGTATAAATAAATAAATCTTTAAAACAAAACAAAACAAAACACATGATTAACTCAACAGATGCTGAATTTGTATACATACGTGCACATGTTTACAGGGACCTAAAGAAGTGATATCTAGAACCACAGTCATATCAAACAGCTTGATTTTGGTTTTGAAATGCCACTTTCCACTGAAAGCACCCAAGTCCCTTAGAGAAATGGCTAGCTTCAGGGCTAAGTAAGGGAATATACAAGATGAGTTTGGAATCATATTGTACCAACTTAAAAAAAAAAACAAAACAGCTGTTGGGATGTGTCAGAGCACAAACAAGTCAGCTTAAAAAGTCCCTCACAGACCTCCCTGGTGGAGCAAGGGGTTAAGTATCAGTACTATGATACTGGCAGCCACTGCAGCTTGAGTTCAATCTACTGCCAGGGAGCTAATCCACATGGCACAGTAGACCTTTCTTGTCTCGCACACTGCTCCCCTCAATAGTGTATTTCAGTCAGTCCATCTGTTCTGCTCCCTGCTCTGTCTCTGGTGAATCCTCTCACACCCCCCTTACCTCTGGCTTACACCCCAGCTCTTGTATGCATAAATAAATAGATCTTAAAAAAAAAAAACACCTCACCAAAATTATAACCCACTTAATAAAACAGGAATTTGTAAATCTATACTAATATATTTCAATGAATAAATACATAAATGAAGAAGGAAGGGAAAACTTTCAATTAAAAAATTTAGTAGGAAGTAAAAAATATAAAAGAAATGATGGAATTAAAAAATAGTGTTTGGCAACTATTAGAGTTAACAATTGGCTCAGGTAAGAAGCATTAATATGCGCTAAAGCCAGGGGGTAACTATTTGATGATAAGTAGGCAATTTTTTATTCTCAATGTGTTTTCCTACAAAAATAATAACTTTATAGTGGAGAAACTTGGCAGATACCACCTTCTCTAAATGAGCAAAGTTAATACAACCAGTAAAGGGAAAATCAACAACATATTCTTCCTGACATGGGGCACAAAGTATACCCCCCTTCATGATACAGAAAATGTATAATCTGTATCAAATCAAAAGGAAACAATAGACCCTCCCAAATTATCGGCTAGTCTACAAAATAACTGGTTTGCAATCTTCAAAAATACCAAGATCATGAAATTTCCCCCTTCTGCAAAAAAAAAAGAGTGAGGGATTATTTCAGATTAAAGAAAGATAAAGATATGTGACCATACATAAAACACATGAATGTTGATTGAATTTTGGGCCAGAATAAGCCATTTGTCCCCTTTTTTCTATAAAGGGCAGTGGTAAGACAATTGCAAAAAATTCAGAAAGGTATTTAAACAAGATAATAGCATTATGTAAATGTTAATTTCATTAATTTGGTAACCGAACTATAGGTGCTTTAAAAATGTCTTTTGATTTTCAGAAACACATTTATGTATTTAAGGGTAAATAGGCATCATGGCTACAATTTACTCCCAAATGATTCAGGAGAAAAACCCACCTATCTATCCTATTATCTATTAAGAAAACGATACCATAAAGAAGGAAAAATGTTAACATTTGGAAAATCAAGATGAAGAATACATGGCAGTTCTGGACACTCTTCCATCAAACTGAAATTATTTAAAAACAATTTTCTTAAGATGAGTAATAGTGACAAGTTGTCAAAAACCTGAGGGTGGAAGACATGGAATACACTGTAATTTTCTAAGGCACATATTAGTGCCATTCCAGAAGGAGGCTCTATAAAGAGCACCAACAACATATCCATTAGCTGGAGATCCTCAGCCTACAGTCCAAACCTACACCCCACTCATCTGTGCCTACCTAATAATTCTTTCGTTTAATATTACATTTTTTATTTTATATATTTTTTACATTGTTCTTCATTTTTGTACAATGCATGCTTTCTCATCTCGGTTATAGGCCTCATGAAATTTTCACCACCAATTCACCCATGAACCATCACCATAGTCCCTTGTGCTCTTCCCACCCTTGTTTTAATCCTACTCCCTTCTCTCCCCTGCAGAATGTCTCTGGTTTATAGTTGCTTGTTGATTTTGATTTTCACTTTATTATAATTACTTTTCTCCCCAATCCCTTATTTGGATCCTCTATATTCCTACCAAATAATTCTTATGAAGTGATAAAAACTTTGTATATATATAAAGGTTCCTAAGGAAAACAGCTAACGATTAGTACCAGTAACATAACCCTCACAAAAAGATAAGTGTTCCAGGCCAAAGTGGACATTTGGCCCAGCAAATGTAATGGGGCATCCTTGTAAGATGTTGATGAATCCACCATGCATACCACACGAGAAGTAAAAGCAAGTGGGAGAGCTTATTTCAGACAGTACTTTATTCTGTGAAGAAAACTGGCTCAACAAGTAATAGATAAGAAAGTTGGTGATGTTAATGTGTGGTGTGGACATATATTAAGGAAATGACTGACTTTCAAAGAACATACAAGAAAGCCAGAAGCATGTACAAGCACTGATATAAAGTGCTGGATGTTTAAAAGTATCAGGGAAGTTTCTAGATGATATGTCATGGGGTTATT